CCCAGCCAGAACCAGCAAAGATACTTAGCAGTTTTTTCCTATTTTTTGAAGTTCCCCTAAAATTATGATTCCTTTTTTCTGACCATACCTGTTTAGCCTTTTGGATCTGGGGGATTTTGACAGAACTATTTGGAAATGAGAAAACTATCTGTAATTAAAAATAGAAAATAATTAAAATTCATATTCTGGTATTGTTTTACTTCATGAAAAAATTCAGTGACAAATTGTAAACTAGTTTCTCTTTTAATAGACAAAGATCACTCAGTGACTGGGATTAGAGAAGCACTGGCAAGGGTCAAGTCAGACCTGGAATTCTTGGTTTGCTGGGCTAGTATTTCCTTATAAAAGGAAACAGTTGCAGTGGGCAGATGAGGAATCCAACACCAGATTATGATGTGCTGTTTAATGGGGAATTTTCGGATCCCCCTTGCCAGAGTTGTGTTTTCAGATATCAGAAGCAGTAGAGCAGGTGTCACACACAGTCTCCTCTCTGATAGACTTTACTGTGACACAGGGTATTTTCACAAATTGTATCTTTCTGGCAACCCTTATGCTTTCATAAACTACTTTTCCTCTCCGTGCATTTGCAAGGAGATTTTGGTGTTGTTGTTAGGAGTGGGGAGCATCTGACCGAGTTTTGAAGCGTGGAATTGAAATGTGCCAGGTTTGCAGCAATGGCAAGACACAGAGTTGTTGTTATCTGCTTGAGATGCAGGCAATCCCACCCATCCATAATGTTGTGTAGAATGGAGTGTTTGTCAGCTTTACCCGAGGGGCTGGCTGGCTGGAAGGTGTCTGTGGGCCAAACACCTCTGATGCTCATTCCAGTGGGAAGGTGGTGGGCATTCTTTGGAAGCTTAACACAGCAGCAGTGGGATTTCACTGCTGCTTGGAGACAGAAAGGAAACTTCTGTAAAGACTGGGCAAGCAGCCACAAAATGTAGGTTCTGACAGGTGAGCTCTGACATATTTTTGTGCAGTGGTTAAAGGCCTGTTACAGTTCCTGTAACTGTCTGCCTGCTGGACGTTGCTGCTTACAGTTAAGGTCAGCAGGACAGAACGTGTGCCAGCAGCACAGATGCCCTGGTTCAGATTCATGGAAGCTTAAAACTGCATAGACTAATATGAATTGCTTCATCTGGTAGAGAAGTAAAACTCTGCCAAAAGTAGTCCAGTCTTCTCTGCAGCATTCCCTTGAATGCTATTGAAATGCTTAATTTTACAAGGCAAGTGAAACGTCTCATTTGGATGTGTGTAATAGCTTTAGAAAAAACACCCTGTCAGTATTTGAGGTCAGGATGTAATGAGAAACTGAGAGTGATCTCCTGCTCCAGGTAGTGCATTTGGAAATTTGTATCAGAAATTAATGACCCATTTATATAAGAGATTTTGTAGTTTGTTGGGTTTTTTTCATCAATTTCTTTTCCTTGGAAGTCTTTTGGAATAATTTGCAGTGACATTTCAGGAGCAGAAATGCAAGCAGGAGATGGTGGAGAAAGACAAAGCATGTAAACTGACATTCAAGCTGAGAATCTCTGATATACAGTATGTTTTGTGTGTTTTAAATCTTATACTTATATTAACTTAATCTTGACCAGTGCAAATCTGTCAGAGACCTTTCTCTAAACATCCTTTTGTGCGCATGCTGTTGGTGACATGTAAAGTATGTTCTCCACTGATTTTAGGTGCCTTAGGTCTCAGCTGAGGGTCCTATTTTGATGTTCCACAACTCACACAGAAAGCAGCTTTGCTGAAGAACTCCAGATGAGAATGTAGCAGCTCAAACTTAGAGCCCAGCCTGGAGATAAAGCTTGTAAACTTTAGTGGGAATATTTTGTTCATAAAATTATGGATGTGCTATAGTTTTTTGCCAAAGGATTAGAAACTAAGTAATTGTTAAACACTGAGATTAAAATAACACCAGAGAAAAAAACACTAGTTTAAGTCAATAAATCAGTTAGTGCTACAATGAGAAAATTAAATTTCGTAGCTATAAAGTATAGCCATAAAGGATGATGATTTTAAAAATTAGTACAGCATTGACATTTTCCTTTTAATATATAATCTGTATTTTATGTAACAAGCAGTGCTGGACTGAGTTATATAAACGAGCAAGTGTTTTATGCATGTTATTTCAATTATCTGTCCTTGGAGAAGGTGAATGAAAAATAGCTCCAACTCAGTTTTAGCATCTTCATTTTAACAGTTGTAATATGCATATTAATGAAGTGTGTGAAGTATAGAGAAATGGGTCCATTTGTAAAAGCTGATGTCCTCTTAGTTCTTTATCTTAAAAGGAAAAGAAAAAAAGAGAGAAAGGAAGAAAGAAGCAGAGGCTATGTTTCATGTAGCATGCCAGGTCTTTTTGAAACAGCTTGCAGTTGCAAGCTAGCTGAATCAGCACCACATTTATTGGTGGAAGGCTGTAATCATAGTAGCACCTGCAGTGCACAGCAAAGAAGGGGCACATCAAATTCTGGCAAGGTGTTGAATGGAGTTCTTATGTCTGGTTTTAAATCAAGTCAGTGCATTGCTACAAAGAATAGAATTGGTTAAGTAGTAGGGTTTAATCAACAGAATTAATTTAAATTTCCACGATTATTTAGCTAGTATCTTTGACGATATCTTAGTTGAGAGGCATGAGGCTTTCACAAAGTATCATTATTCGGATTAATTTGCTTCATACAATGTGCAGTTTTAAAATGTGCAATTTTGATACAAAATTGATAACGTATGTTGAAAAAGAACCTTAGGGTTTAAAGTGACAAAGATCTTTTCCCATTACTTGTTTTTAGAGATGAGTAAACTTTTAAGTCCAGAAGAGTTTGTTAGCTCTCTTAGTGAGTTTGTTTCTGTGTTGTGTGTTTGGTTCTTCAAGAGCAGATTTTACTTTTTTTTATTAATGTTGTTATGAGGTGCTGGATCGGATTAAGTGTATTTGAATCAGCGTGCAAGAGTGCATTGATCAGTTGTCTCTAACATTACAAAATCTGCTCGCTACTAGATACAAGAGCAAACCAGTCAAATTCCTTAACTATTCCTTACCATACAGTTATCTCTGTAACAGAGAATAGGACCCATCCAGCATGGGTTTGATGTCACTAGGTACAAGCCATGCTTTTATGAGAAGCAGCAAGGGAGATGAAGACTTAGAGTAACTTTAGAGCTGATTTTTCCAGTCTGCTTGGGAAAATTGATTATATCTCATGTTCTTTGTCCCTTTGGCATGAGAAATAGCTGACAGCAAAAGACAAGTAAGTACATTTTAAAAAGTTGTCTAGGTACTATAGACTACAAGCATTTCTCAATATCTTTCTTTTGTTATTGGAAAACACTAAATATTGGAAATGGAATTGCCCTGAACTTACCTTCTGTGTGATCTTTCTGCCTGCTCTGTCCAGATGTTTTTAATTCTGCTTCTAGCCTTTGGGTGGGCTTGACAAAGAAACTAATTTGAGCTCTTTGATTCTTCATGTAAGGAGGGGCAGGAAGGGCAACCTTCCACTCAGAGATACGAGCAGAGACAGTAAAGCCTTCAGAGTGACACAGTGGCCCAGTTGCCAAGAAGTCTTATCAAACAAGACTCCAGTCTTGGCTAAGTGTTTGAGCCACTGACTTAATACAGGTAAAAGGTATTAAAATTCTAGTAGAGCATCTGTTCATGGTATAGTAAAATGGAGATGGCAGGAGCAACCTTCCTCATTTCAAACATGTCTTTTTAACAGCTGGATGGAAATTGAAATGGTTACTATTGTCTTTTGACTCTTCACTCTTCATCAGACCAAAACTCAAATGGACTTACTTTTCTTCTTCCTATTATCTCTTCCCCATATGCTTCCTCAGCTCTCATCTCTTTAGTTAGAAAATGGGTGCATACAGAAATTAATTCTGTAATTCATTTAAATGTTGTCATTGAATACTGTAAGATAAGTGCTTAATTTCTGGAGTTTGAACTCTACTAAACTTCTGCATTTCAAAGAAGTTAAGGGAGGATTGTTTAAAGGCATTGAAAGAGATTTAGAAGAATTTTTGGAACACATATCAGTCCACATAGCAAATGGGGTAAAGTAGGTGTTCCAACTTAAAAACTTAGAATGATCTTAGGGGTCCATTCTCATATATCTATACTTAGACCTTTTTATCAGTGCACAATAGAGTTAAAGAGAGTCACCAAACCAAGCTTGTATTTCATTTGACTTAGTCTTTGCTGTAATTCTTTGTGTGTGATTTAATTTTAAAACGTGAAGATTCAGCTCTGTTCCTTAGTGAAGCTTAAGGCAGTTGGTTTTGATGGAAGCAAGATTAGGCAATGGGACTCCTTTCCCTGTGTTAACTCTTCATCATGTGGTAGAGTGTCTCTCACTTACCCAGACACATAACTGCAAATAGAAAGCATATTGGAGGGTTTCTTTAATCACATGCAAATTCCGTTCATGTGCCCAAGTTTTCAGAGAAGACTCAGAGATTTAAATCTCCAGACCCTGTTAGTTTCAGTAGGAGCTGTGTGACTAAATCCTCTGAATTAGTTTTGAATTAAAAACGAACAATAAACAGCCGTGCAGCACTTGTCAGCCCAACCTCCTGGCACATTTAGCTGCTTTTTAGGACTGCATCAATTGATAAATTCTTTTGGCAAAATTTGAAGAGGCTGGTGAATGAGAAAACAGGAGCTGTTGAGTTCATCTAAGGTACTCCTGCTCTTTACAGCCTCAGAGCAGCGTATGGGAGACATGGCTGGGAGAAGTGTGATATGCCTTCTATTCACATTCATAACTATAAGGCAATTTTAAATGTGCTTGCAGAACTAATGTGGGGAAGGTAGGAAATGTGGACTAGCTTTACCTTTTGGCAGGGTTGAGCACTGCTGTGCAGGACATTGTGTTCTCATGTTTCTCTGATGCTTACAGGTACGCATATGCAATTAATCATTACAGATGTAGCTTTGACAGGTTGGAACTAAAACCTCCAAATTAATCTCTTCGATTTTTTTCTCATTTCAGAGACACTACTCTACTCTGAACAGAAATGGCAGAAATCAATTCTCCTGTAAATATCAAGGAAAAGGTAGGTTCAGATAACAGTACAATGCAAACCAAAGTTATATTTGCATACATATTTAATTTCTGTTCTTTCCAACACTGTTCACATACTGAACTTAATTATGTATTGACTCTGTGCATGAAGTTAAGTACACAGACAGGTATTGATAGGACTAATCTGAATCTTGCTTGATGAGAAGTATTTTTACTTTTTTGTGGAAAGACTGTTTTGTCAGCTAGTCTCCTCTTATTCTTTTGTAATTCCTGTGCACACTGATGCTGTGGAGAGCAGCACTTTGGATGATTACTGCTGTACAAAATGCAACCATTAAAGAAACATGCCCTTTAGAAATAATTTTCTGCCTAAAAATGTTATGCCTACAATACTTAAAGCAATTCCTAAAAGTGCAGGACCTGAAAAAAGTAGATTACTTTTTCCTATGAAAGTATGTCTGCTTTTAACTGCATTCCATGAGTCAGTCTTCTCCATATCCTTGGCTAGAGCTGGAGCCTCGTCACGCTTTCAGGAGCAGCAAAGGACCTAAAGCTAATTAGGGTATGAGGTAGGTCAGGAGATCTTTTGTGACTCCCAGCAGGCAGATTGTGAAGAGACCATCTAACTGCAGAACTTCTTTTACTCTATCTCTCCTTATGGGAAACAGTTCCTTACCTGTTGTACTGCCCAGGTGCCTGTTTTTTGAGTAGTTATACCTTGTATTTGTTACTAACATCTCAGTTGCTCGTTGTGATAGAGGATTTGCATGTCAATATGAATCTCCATCTTGGTGATGAATGTCTTCCGTAGTTCTTAATAACAGCACAGGGTTTTAAAATTGAGTAGCATGATGATTTTGCCATAGAAAGTAATGTCATCAAATTCTTTTCCGTGGTGCCAGAGTGCTCAAAGGTAAAGTACAGTAATTCTCAAAATACTACTTAGTAAATCAGTTGAAGCTCTGCATATTTACTGTGTAGCTTGAAATTTTTTATTTAAGTCAGTTTTACAAGTGCAGGATTTTACAAATCATGTTTGTCTCTTTTAATTTTGAGAATGAGGAACTGCAACAGGAGTTTTATTCACGGTCGATATCTGCTGTTCCAAGTGTGGTATCTGCTGGGAGTGCCCAAAATCAAATGTTTATGAGCATGTGTTTTAAGACAGGAAAATAATTGGATCAATACACTCTAATATAAATTGTTCCACTCTTTATTCCTGTGTCTTCCATCAGTATTTAGTACTACTAAATCCCTATGCCAGATTGAAAACTTAGTTTAACAGCAGTTGAAATTCTTTTGCAAAATCACTGGGTTTTATCCTGGAAAATACAGATTAATAACCTGTTGCATAGAGGGTTAGTGACTGAACAATATAAGCCTCATGCAGTTTACATAGATCAGCTGAGAAGGTGTCATGCTCAGAGAGCCATTGCACCTGGCCAAGTCCCTCTTGTTTTAAAGCAGGGTTGCAATGGCTGCATTTGGTATCTTGTATTTGGTTGACCATATGGGCAGCAACAAACTGAGTAACTGTGAAGTGTCTGTAGCTTCAGAAGTCTTTGAATGATGCTCTAGAACTATGAGGAAAGAGTTGGACAAGTAAGTCCTGCAGAGTTGCCTTTGATAATACTTGCACATAAACTTCCAAAGCATGAGGATTTCATTTGCATGTTTGAAAAGTAGACATATTTACAGTGTGCTGGTAAGAGAGTAAAAATGACATCCCTTTCTCACTTAGCTTACAGAACTTCCATGGTCATGCCTCACAACATGGAAGCAGAGTTTAACGTTTACTTTTATCCACCTTTTGTGAGACAATATTTCTGGGTTAAAAAAACAAGGTTTATAAATATAATAGTTCTGCTGAGCTCCACAAATCACTTGCCATCAATGCAAATACAAGCAGGCTTGGTTTAAAAGAACAGACTAGAATACAGTCCCTTCCCAGTTCTCCCTTTCTTCTACCTTAGTGCTTGCAAATGATAATGTACTTAAGACTTTGATCTTGCTAAGACTTGCATGAAGCCAAAGGAGCTGTACATCTGCACACAAATACTTATTCATGTAAGTTTCTGTGAAAGTAGCATACAAGTTTCTCCTTAAATAGAAGGTTGTTTCACTGTGACAAAAATGTGGTGCAGATCCCATACAGATTTCAGCATGTTCTTTTGTTGGGGGAGAGGGGGGCAGTTGTTTGGGGTTTTTTTTCAGTGGTGACCTTTCCCTGTGTTCTCTCCATGAGCAGCTTCTTCTCTTCATGATCAATTATTCAAGAAAGTAAAACCTCTGCCACTGTTTTAAAAGTGAGTGTGAGGCTAGTGCAGACATTTTGGACATGATGCTCACAGCCAGGCTCTGTAAAGCCCAACCCCTGAATTTGAGTCATAAGAGAATGCTACTGTGGTAGGGATACTTATATAATTCATCCTTGGCATTTCAGCTGAAATAGTTCATGGAGTCAATAGGTTAAACATTCTATTTTATATCTTCTTTTTTCTCCCTCAAGAGATTTATATAAATGTTGGCCTGTGATGTTGGGAAGGCTAATGAAAGTTTCCATAGTTGGCAGAGACTCCTGCAGCTGTGATACTCTTGTGGGGGAGCCAGGACTGTTTCAATTACCATATTTTCATGCATATAACCCACAGATTTTCTAGAATAACCTAAGTTCTACATTTCAGCAGACACAAAGGTCATTAATTGCCTGCATAACTAGTATAAGAAGTTTACCATCAGGATCTTCTCAGAATAATTCCTCTGCCCTGACCCTTCCTGTTGTCTTCCTTCACTCTGCCACTCTCTCTCTTGCCTCTGATAACACTCATAATGATCTCTATGCCTGAAACTAAGTAAGGATTTATTTTTTGTATCAGGATTTTCAGAGACAGAGTGTTATACATAGTTCAGATCATATGCACAAAAGTTGACTGGATTAAGGGGTAAAATGAGCCAAACTCATTGGCTTGCACCCAAAATCCGTAAAATCAAAGGAGATATTCAAGCATTAACCTAGTACAGCACCAGAAGAGGTGCTGAGATTTTGAATTACAAGGCTTCCAAAGAAGAAGCAATTGGAGTGAGGAAGACAAGTGATGTATTGTGTCCTGCAACAATTAGGCCCTCTTAGTTCAACAAGAGAAGAGTGAATATCAGGCACTCCCCAGAATAATCATTCATCTCTGGCATGTGACTTTGGTTTTGATCCAAAGAAATATCAGGAATTGTTTAAACTTCAGGACTTGCTTTTGGGCCCATATTTTTTATTTTTTATTTTTTTTTTAATTCACTGTTGTCTAAACATGTTTGAACAAGTGAGATCTGCTGTCAGCTGGAGTTAGCAAAACACTCATTCAGATGAAGTCTTCTTTTGAGATTCTGTTAGGAATGAGGTTTTGCTGAAGTTCTCCTGAAAGGCTTGCTTTCTCATTTGTCATTTCAAGTGTCAGAGCTGGAGCAGCAGATGGGCAGAACTGCAAGAAGGAAATTTTATTCAGATGTGGTTTTGGAGGTTTCACAGTTTTGTTTGCATTACACCATAAATGTGTTTTTTATAAGCAATAGTCAGCATGCAAGCAAAGAGTAGAATTTAGAGTGGAAGGAATGGAAGTAGTATGTAAATTTAAAATCGTGCATTACAAAAGCAGGTAATTTCCAAGCTGTGATTTCACTTTCTCCTTAAAGTTGAACTTTGCAGCTGTTCTTTGCCCATGTGTTGAAGTAGATGACTGTTCAAAGACCAGAAAAGTTGGTCAAAATGCACTTTCATCACTTGGTAAACCATTTAACTTGGATATCATAGACTCACGTCTGTAAATGGTGCTGTCACCACTCAAGTAGAACAGTTCTTACTAAGCCAAACTTCTTAAAAATCTTGAAAGAACATCCTAGAATGTGTGGGTTTCTATTTGATGGATAAGGGTGCAATAATACATCCATGACAAGTGCCTAAAGAAGTTTACTGCAGCAAGTAGAACTTTTTTTGGAGCTTACTAGCAAGATAATCAGGGTGATGAACAGGTCATGTAGTAGAGAGAGAGAGGCACAGATCTGACCAATGCTGCCATTTTGCTCAAAGGGGATGTTAGCAACACTTGTTCAGTTTGTCAGGGTGAACTTAGTAAAGCTTCTGCAAAAATGTCTCTAGTGTAAGAATCAGCCTCTTAATGCAACCAAGACAAATTGTATTCATGAAATATGTTTGTGTAGAAGTTCAAAACCTTTTTAAAAATTCTACCATAAAGTGGTTTTTAAATGCATTTTCCTGCTTAATGTAGCCAAGGCATCTGCTAATGCCAAATTCCTAGATTATCGAAACCAGCAGTGTTCTGCAGGCAGCCCTTCTTCCCTGCTTCACTTGCAGGATTTGGGAGAAATTGGGGGTGTAATGGAATTGAATGATGTATATGTGTATGTAAAAATTTGCTACTGACATGCAGTGAAAGTAAAGTAGGAAATGTCTGTGTTTCTTGATAACCATACTTGTAAGTTAATTTAGCTCTTAACTTAGAGAAAATCTATTGCTCTTAATGTTTAGTACAAAGTGAAGGTGGGTCAGGGTTACTTTTCCTAACCAAGCATAAATAAGAATATTTCTAAGTGATCATAATAGTAACTTACTTCAAGGGGATTAGAGCAGCTGTGTTCAGGGGTTTCAGAACAGCCGTGAGCTTTCAGCAAAGAAGTTTAATTTGTCACTGTGTCAGAAATACATAAACAAACTCTCTGAACCCCGGATATGTTACTTATTCACCAGAAACATCCTCTTTGAGATGATGCCAAGGGGGACCAGATGGAACGGAGCAGCAAACAGGCAGTGATTGAGTCCATGTTGTTACAGTTGCCTGGGAACCATTTGAAACTTGACAGAGAACGTAAAGGGCTTAGAGGAATACACATCAATGTCAGCTTGATTCTGCATGTGGAATAGATAATCTGGTGTCACAACTTCCAGGCAGGCTCTGTTTCTTTTTGAGCTTGACTTACCTGGAAAGTCTTGTGAGATGGATGTTGTGAGGACTTGGAGTAGGC